CTTGGATCCCTTTGTCATTATGTAATGCTCTTCTTTGTCTCTTTTGATCTTTGTTGGTTTAAAATCTGTTTTATCAGAGACTAGGATTGTAACCTCTGCTTTTTTTTTGCTTTCCATTTGCTTGGTAAATATTCCTCCATCACTTTATTTTGAGCCTATGTGTGTCTTTGAACATAAGAGTGGTCTCCTGAATACAGCACACCTATGGGTCTTGACTCTATCCAATTTGCCAGTCTGGGTCTTTTAATTGGAGCATTTAGCCCATTTATAGTTATGGTTAATATTGTTATGTGTGAATTTGATCCTGTCATTATGATACTAGCTGCTTATTTTGCACATTAGTTGATGCGGTTTCTTCATAGTGTCAATGCTCTTTACATTTTGGCATTTTTTGCCGTGTCTGGTGTTGGTTTTTCTTTTCCAAATTTAGTGCTTTTTTTCAGGAGCTTTTGTAAGGCAGTCCTGGTGGTGACAAAATCCCTTAGCATTTGCTTTTCTGTAAAGGATTTTATTTCTCCTCTTATGAAGCTTAATTTGGCTGGATATGAAATTCTGGGTTGAAAATTCTTTTCTTTAAGAATGTTGAATATTGGAGCCACTCTCTTCTGGCTTGTAGGGTTTCTGCCAAGAGATCTGCTATTACTCTGATGGGCTTCCCTTTGTGGGTAACCTGACCTTTCTCTCTGGCTGCCCTTAACATTTTTTCCTTCATTTCAACCTTGGTCAATCTGAAGATTATGTGTCTTCGGATTGCTTTTATCAAGGAGTATCTTTGTGGTGTTCTCTGTATTTCCTGAATTTGAATGTTGGCCTCTCTTGCTAAGTTGGGGAAGTCCTCCTGGATAATATCCTGAAGTGTGTTCCAGCTTGGTTCCATTCTCTTTGTCACATTCAGGTACACCAATCAAACATAGGTTTGTTCTTTTCACATAGTCCCTTACTTCTTGGAGGCTTTGTTCATTCCTTCTCATTCTTTATTCTATAATCTTGTCTTCACAATTTATTTCATTAAGTTTATCTTCAATCTCTGATATTCTTTCTTCTGCTTGATCAATTCGGCTATTGAAACTTGTGTTTGCTTCACGAAGTTCTCGTGCTGTGTTTTTCAGCTCGATCAGGTCATTCTTCTCTAAATTGTTTATTCTAGTTAACAGTTCCTGCATCCTTTTATCAAGGTGATTATCTTCCTTGCATTGGGTTAGAACATGCTCCTTTAGCTCAGAGGAGTTTGTTATTATCCACCTTCTGAAGCCTACTTCTGTCAATTTGTCAATCTCATTCTCCATCCAGTTTTGTTTGCTTGCTGGCCAGTAGTTGTGATCCTTTGGAGGGGGAGAAGCATTCTAGTTTTTGGAATTTTCAGCCTTTTTGCACTGGTTTTTCCTCATCTTGGTGGATTTATATACTTTTGATCTTTGATGTTGGTGACCTTTGGATGGTCACTGCCCCTTTGGATGGGGTTTTTGTGTGGGTATCCTTTTTGTTGATTTGATGTTATTGCTTTCTGTTTGTTAGTTTTCCTTCTAACAGTCAGGCCCGTCTTCTACAGGTCTGCTGGAGTTTGCTGGAGGTCCAATCCAGACACTGTTTGTCTGGGTATCACCAGCAGAGATTATAGAACAGCAAAGAATGCTGCCTGCAACTTCCTCTGGAAGCTTCATCCCAGAGGGGCACCCACCAGATGCCAGTCAGAGCTCTTCTGTGTGAGGTGTCTGTCGACCTCTGCTGGGAGGTGTCTCCCAGTCAGGAGGCACAGGGGTGAGAGACCTATTTGAGAAGGCAGTCTGTCCCTTAGCAGAGTTCGAGCGTTGTGCTGGGAGATATGCTGCTCTCTTAAGAGCTGGCAGGCAGGAATGTTTAAGTCTCCTGAACCTGTGCCCACAGCCACCCCTTCCTTCAGGTGCTCTGTCCCAGGGAAATGGGGGTTTTATCTATAAGCCCCTGACTGGAGCTGCTGCCTTTCTTTCAGAGATGCCCTGCCTAGAGAGGAAAACTGTAGATAGTCTGGTTACAGTGGCTTTGCTGAGCTGTGATGGGCTCTGCTCAGTTTGAACTTCCAGGTGACTTTGTTTACACTGTGAGGGGAAAACCACCTGCTCAAGCCTCAGTCATGGCAGATGTCCTTTTCCCCACCAAGCTCAAGCATCTCTGTTCAACTTCAGGCTGCTGTGCTGGCAGTAAGAATTTCAAGCCAGTGGATCATAGCTTGCTGGGCTTTGGGGAGGTGAGATCCGTTGACCAAGACCACTTGGCTGCTTGGCTTCAACCCCCTTTTCCAGGGGAGTGAACGGTTCTGTCTCGCTGGCATTCCATGTGCCACTGGAATATATTAAAAAAACTCCTACAGCTAGCTTGATGTCTGCTCAAACAGCTGCCCAGTTTTGTGCTCGAAACCCATAGCCCTGGTGGTATAGGCACCTGAGGGAATCTCCTGGTCTGCGGGTTGCAAAGACAATCGGAAAAGCATAGTATGTGGGCTAGATAGCACCATCCCTCTTGGCACAGTTCCTCAAGGCTTCCCTTTGCTAGGGAAGGGAGTTCCCCAACCCCTTACACTTTCCGGGTCAGGTGACACCATACCCTGCTTCTGCTTGCCTTCCATGAGCTGCCCCCACCGTCTGACCAGTCCCAGTGAGATGTGCCAGGTACCTCAGCTGGGAATGCAGAAATCACCCACCTTCTGCATTGGTCTTGCTAGGAGCTGCAGACCGGAGCTGTTTCTATTCAGCCATCTTGCCAACCACCTCCTCTACTAGCTCTTTTATAATTTTATCTTTTTACTTTTAATGCATTAATCCTTCTGGAATTTATTTTGGTGTATTTCATGAGATAAGCCTCTAACTTTCTTTCCAATAGGTTAACCAATGATCTCAGCACTATTGGTTGAGTATTTAACCTTGTTTCCACTGATTTGACATGCCGAGTTTATATATACTTATTTGCCTGTTGCCTTTCATTGTTTTCTGCTCCACTGATCTGACCTTGTGAAATGTACCAGTTCTTAAACTGTTTAGCCATGTTTTATAATATATTTTAACTGCAGTTAATGGAGTCCCTCTGTTTATGCTTCATTTTTGTTATATATGTCTTAAATGAACTTTAGAATTACTATTCTCAAATTTTTAAATTCTGTTGGAAATTTTGATTTGAATTGCCTTAAATTCATAGATTTGTTTAGAGCAGAATTGATATCTTTGTTATATTATATCTTTTTGGTAACAGATATGTCTCATTTTTTTTCCCAGATTCTTTCACTTTCCTACAAAATGGTTTGATTTTGTTCTTTATAAACATTATTCATATATGTAAAGGAGTTTATTCCTACATGTTTATTTTTACTGCTATGTGAAAATATACTTTTCCATTTTTTTACAGAGTGTTTATAGTTGGTACATAGGTATTACTGATTTTGTATATTTAATTTTGAAACATCTATCTTGTGTACTCATATATTCAACTGGTTTTTCAGCTTTCTTAGTTAAAGACTGAAAGTAATGAAAAATTTGTTTCTTTTGGAACAATATGCTCTTAAGTTTCCATTTAATCTTATTTTATAATTGAAATAATGAAGATGATATATACAAGTCGCAAAGTCATAGCACATTCTCTTCATTAGAATAAATCAAATGAAACATCAGTAAATGTTAATAATGTAACAACCATCTTTTTATCATTGTCTTTTCGGATTTAAGGAACATGCAGATTTCATAACATTTTAATGTATTTGTACTTAAAGATTGTGTAAAATTATTTTCAATGCAAAGCTTAAAATACATTTTCATTTTTGAATACTATTTTTATTCAATAACTTAAATATACTATTTTCAATGTAACCATTTTTACTATTAAAAAGTGTGTGTGCTATTTAGATTTAATTACTTGTAGTTCATTATTTTGTATAGTTCTTAAATGCTATTCTAGTCAAACAGTACATATTCACTGAAGGAATGAAAGATTCTTATTAATAATTGCTGAGAGCATGGCTCTTGCATGTCTTTTATTCCCCCCACCTTCTGCAGCTAGAGAAGAACATTGGAGAGTAGTATTTCAGCTCCGTCATAAATATACCAGTAATTGAGATGGCCAAGTGAGTGTTTAAACCTGGACTCACTTGTGAATTTGTGAGGGTATGCTTTCCAAGATATGATTTAATGTTTAAATATAAACTCAAGCTCCTTAAAATGATTGATTTAAATGTTGGTTTTTAAAAGTGTCAATAATAGTAGCAGTAGGGTAGATACATGCATATTGCTTTTTGATTGAAAGAGCTTTGTAGTTTTAATTGTGGAACTCATGCTCTCTCTATAATTCTGTGACTATACACTTTGCCTAGTCAAACTTATGAATGTGCCAATCACATTATCATCGTACCATCCAGAGTGTTATCTTTGCAGTTATGACAGTTGTAAGATGAAAGCTTAGACTTTCTGTTCTCTTGTGAATTACTTACATGAAATTTTTTTGTGATATTTGTTCAGCATATTATATGTGAAATCACCCAGCTATAAGATGTTATCCTTGAGAGTGCATATAGTACACATCGATAGTTTCCTCTGGTAATCTAGCAGATAAATTCATTGTGAATTTTTTTAACTTGTGAGTTCTAGGATCCTTCTGCTTTGCCAGCTTGTAGTTACTGAAAATGAAATTGAGTCTTTCCATTTAGAGTGATGATGAAGATAATTGGTATTTGTATGTAATAAATGGATTTATATTTAAGTAAATGAAATAATTGCCTTCCCACAGCTGAATGTGTTACACTCATTGGTATTTGTTGAACTAAACATTTTGGTTTCCTTTAGGAACTTAAGAATTCTCACCATGTTAATAAGTTTGGGAGTTTTATAAACTTTGACATTGTAAATTATCTAGGGAGTCATGGACTACTTTGTATATGTGGCAGAAAAGTTTTAAAAAATTTAAAATGTTTTTTAAAAGGTTGTATCCACTTCTATAATGTTCTGAAGGATCAAGTAGGTCTTGGTGTTTTTATTTTCTAGAATGTTCTAAAGGGTCTGGAAAAGAGAAAAGCTGATTTAAATACTATCACAGAGAGTAGTGCTGCCCTACAAAACTTGGTTGAGGGCAGCGAGCCTGTTTTAGAAGAGAGGCTCTGTGTCCTTAACGCTGGGTGGAGCCGAGTTCGTACCTGGACTGAAGATTGGTGCAATACCTTGATGGTATGTCTCAGGAAAAATTAATGATGAAATCTTCTCCTCTCTTCTAGTTATTTTTAAAATGTATACAATGTTGATTAAATTTCAAATCCTATTTACTGTGTGTCACAGTAATGTTTTGCTTGTGAGTTAATTTCATTAGACTACATTTTATTTTTCTTTGAAAAGATAATAACTAGAAAGAATTTACAATGTTTCCAAAATATTCATAATCTATATAGAAAGAGGTACTTTCATGCTTTAGTGAATGTACCTTGTTTCACTTTAATGATATCATATTGTATTTAATTTTCATACTATCAGAAGCTATTTCTACATATACTCTTTATAGTGTCTGAGTAATTCATACTGCTTAAGAGCACAGGCTCTAGCATCTGGTGGCCTAGTTAAAAATTTCCACTACTAGCTCAGTAACATTGGTCAAGTTGCTTAAACACTCTCTAAATCTCAGTTGTCTAATTTGTAAAATGGACATTATTATATCTACCTCATACAGTTTTGCAGTGATTGATTATGAACCTTAAACATGTAGTGCTCTTAACTAAATGCAAAACAACCAATTTTAGATATTGCTATGATAATAATTATTAAATATTGTATATGCGTTAGTCTTTGGTTTTATTACTACTCTGTCAGTTGTCTCGTGGAAATAGTGACCATTTAATTTAATTTTTTAATTTTTTTAAGATGGAGTCTTGCTCTGTCACCCTGGCTGGAGCGCAGTGGCGCAATTTTGACTCACTGCAACGTCTGTCTCTCGGGTTCAAGCAATTCTCTGCCACATCTTCCTGAGTAGCTGGGATTACAGGTGCCACCACCCCTGGCTATATATATATATATTTTTTTTTTACTTTTAGTAGAGATGGGGTTTCACCATGTTGGCCAGGCTGGTCTTGAACTCTTGACCTCGTGATCCACCTGCCTCGGCCTCCCAAAGTGCTGGGATTATAGGCGAGAGCCACTGTGCCCAACCCATTTAATTTTTATAGTGGTTTTGTGTTCCTATGATACCAATTGTGAATATATGGCCACCCCACCTTCCCCTGCTGAGGAAGGCATTGTTATTTATAATGTGTTTTTTTAAATTTTGAAATATCTGAGATAGGACTTTTATCAAATGTTTAGAATTAGTAGGTAATGGATAGACACATCAAAAAAACATATTTTGTGTTTGAATGTTTATTTAAATCCTTCAGGATGTGTAGGGCAATGAAGAGCATGGGCTTAGGTCTTGATCTCTAATAGATTTATATCCACAATCCATGACTTAGTATCTGTATAACCTTAGCTAAGTTACGTAATGTTACTAAGCTTAAATTTTCATATATGGAGAATGAGAACAAAGGTATATACCTAATAGAGTTGTTAAATATTGAATGTATTAGTGGATATGAAATTCTTGGCTCATAGAATATGCTCATTAAATATTTTATATATTAATTTTTGTTATTACTAGCTTTATTTCACATTCTTATGGCCCTTATTTCTGTATTCTTCAGTCTGTACCTTTCAAACTCTCTATATAAGCAGTATCTTTCTAGTGCTGCTAGAACATTTGATTTACCTGCTTAATAGGGGTAAACAAGTCTGGTGCTCATCAGTTCTTCCTACTTAGAATCAGACCACTGTTGATATTTTATCATGTCATTTATTAGTTCACATTTTCTATTTTTTTTTATACGTTTATTTTAAGTTTAGGGATAGGTACAAGTGCTGCAAGTGTAGGTTTGTTTTCTTTCTTTCTTTTCTTGATCATTTATTAGTGTACTTTTTTTTTGTCTGGGTCTCACTCTGTCACCCGTACTGGAGTACAGTGGTATGATCATGGCTTGCTGCAACTTTGACCTCCCCAGCCTCAGGTGATCCTTCTGCCTCAGCCTCCTGAGTAGCTGGGACTACAGGCAGGTGCCACCACACCCGACTAATTTTTGTGTTTTTTGTAGAGAAGGGGTTTTGCCATGTTGCCCAGGCTGGTATTGAATTCCTGAGCTCAAATGATCCTCCCACTTGGACCTTCCAAAGTGCCAGATTACTGGCATGAGCCACCACACCCAGCCTACGTTTTGTGTTTCCAACTATTTTTCATATTATAGATTAAAAATTTCTTTCTTTTTAAAAACTTTTACTGTCTAAGCTTTTTCTAGCTTGTTTTATCCAACTAAATATAATTCCTAAATGTTAGTTTCATCGTAAGCCTCCTTACCCTTTTTGGTCACATTCTAATTTCTTGCCTTAGACCAACTGCTTTTCCCAGTCATGATCTGCTTAACTCTTGCTTCTGTTGAAATCTGTCGAGAGCATTTCATGTCCTGCTTCAGGACATCTTGCTATGGTCTGTGCCAGGTGTAATATTAAGGGCTGGCGATTATGAGGTAAGGACACAGAGGCACTGCCCTTTGAGCTGAGAATATAGAATCTTTTTCTTTTCATATATTCATTATTTTTATTATTACTTCCTTAAGTGAGTTTTTAAAAGATATGATTGGCAGGGGCAAATCAGATCAGTTGTAACATAAGAATGAGGAATAACAGATGAATTGCATTGAAATTGAAAAAGAAACTTTCACCTTTTATTTGACTTCAACTTTCAATTGTGCTGAGGTCCAAATCAAATAAATTTAAAAAGACGTTAAGCACCATACATGTGCGTTTTTAGGAATGAGATTTATTCACTGAAGAAGAGCTTTGCAGGAAGGTGAAAACGCTTCTTTAAATTCATGATAGGGCTTGCTCTTTGAAAATCTTTTAACTCTCTTTTAAGATTATCGTCTTAAATATTTCACATGGGTATGTAAGCATTTTATTAATTCCTTTGTAGAACCACCAGAACCAGCTAGAAATATTTGATGGAAATGTGGCTCACATAAGTACCTGGCTTTATCAAGCTGAAGCTCTGTTGGATGAAATTGAAAAGAAACCAGCAAGTAAAAGGGAAGAAATTGTAAAGGTAGCAAACACAGACGCATCAGTAACACTTTGGGAGTGGAATGTTTTGTTGTCATGTTTTCTCTTGTGGAATGCTCTAACACTATCATTCCTCCCATGCACTAAATTCATTAACATTTATTTCCATGGGAGAAACTGAGACAATAAGAGACAAACTTCATTAAGATTGAAAGACTAGTAAGAGATTTCAGCACAATCAATCAGAGTAAGAGCTATTCACATAAGATGCCAATGAGTCTTGCTTACTTCTGTATTCTCCATTGAGTGCTGCTTACTTCTCTATTCTCCGGTGAGTCTTACTTTTGTACTCCTCAGTGAGTCTTATGTGAACACCTCTTACCTGGTTGATTATGCTGAAATCTCTTACTGGGGATCCCAGATGTTTATTTAAATTACCTTTAATTCTGTATAAGCATCACAATCATGTTTGGGTTTCATTTTTCTCATGAGATAATTTTTGTTTTCTTATAATTAGCGTTTAGTATCTGAGCTGGATGATGCCAACCTCCAGGTTGAAAATGTCCGCGATCAAGCTGTTATTTTGATGAACGCTCGAGGCAGCTCAAGCAGGGAGCTTGTAGAACCAAAGTTAGCTGAGCTGAATAGGAACTTTGAAAAGGTGTCTCAACATATCAAAAGTGCCAAAGTGAGTAATTATGTATTTAGAGTAAACCATTTTTTTTTCTGTGTGCATGTATCTAAGTGGTAGTCATACAGTACATACATCAACAATTTTTATTTTATGATTTTGATTTTATTGTTTTCTCACTCTTGTTACCCAGGCTGGAAGGCAGTGGCATGATCTCAACTGAAACCTCCACTTTCTGGGTGCAAGCTATTCTCCTGCCTCAGCCTCCCAAATTGCTGGGATTATGGGTGCCCACCATCATGCCTAGCTGATTTTTGTACTTTCTCAGTAGAGACGGGGTTTCACCATCTTGGCCAGGCTGGTCTTGAGCTCCTGATCTCAAGTAATCCACCTGCCTTGGCCTCCCAAAATGCTGGGATTACAGGATGAGCCACTGCACCTGGCCAACAATTTTTAAATTAAAATATTTTTAATTACTTTTTCTTTGAATGAAGCATTTGTCCTTATTTATTTGTGATTGTGCATATGAAGAGGAGAAAACAAGCAATTAGTATTGAAGAAAATAACCTATTTGAGAAAAGGTTTCAAAGACTCCATCAAAGTTATGCCTATGAAATGACGAAACTAATTCCCAAGCCAGGGATGAATGTTAAATCCATTATTTTATAGTCATACTCTATATATGTGTTCACACTGCACACACCTACAGAACTTGTTGTGTTTTGCATGTTGACAAATCTAAAAGTTACAGATAATTTCACAATTTAGGCCTAATGTAGGAAAGTATTACTTGATTTTATAAATTTTAAAAAGAGCTTTATACATTTGACAGAGAGGGTAACAAATAGCTTTATGAGAGAGTGCTAGTTTTCCCACATTTAGGCAACACCAGATGGTACTTACCTGCATTTAGTTTTATTAAAATTGTTTTATTGCATTTTAGTTAAATAAATATAAAGATTTTCTACATAGATGTTACCTGAAAAGATGGCATTGAGAAACATACACTTGTTTGAAGTTTGTATATGAAAATCCAGGGGGGATTCTACTAAAGAAACTTAACTGGGAGACATTCTGTGAGGTGTCCCTGCCCTGGGGACTGGGTGGCTGTTCTTCCTTTCTGTGGCCTTGGAAAGGATAGTTTCTGGGTCGTGGCCATAGTTTCCTACTATGCTCTCATATGGTTTCTAAATCCACCCCACAACACTCCAGACAGCCACAATGAATTGCGATACTACCTCACATCCCTGGCTAGAGTCTGAAGAAAATGGGGAATTCAGAGAAGTCTAAATTGGTAAAATCATTGCCATATAAATGAATGAAATTAAAGTCAATTACAAAAATGCTAGTTTCTGTCTTGACATTCTATCTCTCTGATTAATGATGGAAAGTCAAGTTAACAATCTATTTTCAGAGAACTCTTTTTCTTCTACAGTTGCTAATTGCTCAGGAACCATTATCGTACCAATGTTTGGTCACCACTGAAACATTTCAAACTGGTGTGCCTTTCTCTGACTTGGAAAAATTAGAAAATGACATAGGAAATATGTTAAAAGTTGTGGAAAAACACTTGGAATCCAGTGATGAAGATGAAAAGGTTGGTTCAAGGAGATTTCAAAACTATAGTGCTTCCATTTTTCCTCTGTATTAATTTTATTTTTACGTCAGTGATGTTTACCCATATAATCTGTCAAACATGGTGAAACAGATTCAAATATGAATTTTTAATGTGTTAATGTAAGAGTCACATGATTCATGCTTAAAAAGAAAATAGACACACTTTCTGAACTAAAGATAATTCTTACTATCTATGTAATGTTAGCTAAACTCTCTTTGAGATATTTTACCTTCAAATATAAAATGTCTTTAAAAATAAATTTTTTGATCATTCAGATTAACGTATCTTGACTTACACTATATATAAAGTAGGTTAGTTTTCCTTCTTAGGAGCTGATAGAAGTGACCCTATGCTTTTTTCTTTTGAGTAATTTTTTCTTTTTTCCTTTTAAACATTCAGATGGATGAGGAGAGAGCCCAGATAGAGGAAGTTCTACAAAGAGGAGAACAAATGTTACATCAACCTATGGAAGATAATAAAAAAGAAAAGATCCGTTTGCAGTTATTACTTTTGCATACAAGATACAACAAAATTAAGGTATCATGACTAGAGAGTCTCTGTTGTGTTTAAATGCCTGACTTAACTCTTGCCATTCAGATGTGTAATGTTGCATTACAAATGCTTTAAAACACAGCAGTTGGAATATCATCTCCTCCTTTCTAGTGTGTGTTACTAGATGTGTTCATATTTTTGGATGGCACAGAACTCAAAATTGAAATGTAAAACCTTATTGTTGGCCATCTCTTTTGTATTTCTGATTATGTATCAAACCTAAAAGAGATCTATCTCTTTCAGAAGTGGCTTCCTCCAATTCTGTATTTTATTTGTGAAGGTCTTGGCTATGTAAAAAAAAAATTTCTAAGTGAAAAATAGCTAAATTTGTGAAACTGATGTAATATGATTTATATTCTAGCAAAGATTCACTACCAGCTCTCTTTTTATTTCTTTATATTTCTGTTTTTTGAAAGATGGGGATCTTACTATGTTTCCTGGGCTGATCTTGAACTCCTGGGCTCAAGTGATGCTCCTGTGTCAGCCTCCTAAGTTTCTGGGACTACAGGTGTGGGCCGCTGTACCCAGCTCCAGCTCTTTTTAAAATTGCAATCTTTCTAGCTACCATTTTAAGTGTGCTCTTGTTCCCTGGGGCCTGTTCTTCTGTAGTTCCTTCTAGAACAATTTTTATTTGATGACTTTGGAAATTAAGTAGATTGATGATGGTACTATATTTTTACTGTACCTTTTCTATGTTTAGATATGTTTAGATACACAAATACTTACAATTGTGTTTCAGAATTGCCTGTAGTATTCAGTGCAATAATGTGCTGTAAAGTTTTAGCCTAGGAGCAACTGACTATACCACGTAGCCTGTGTGTACAGGAGGCTGTACCGTCTAGGTTTGTGTAAGCTACTCTTATGATGTTTGCATGACAATGAAATGACCTAAAGACACATATCTCAGAACATGTTCCCGTTATTAAGCAATGCATGACTATACTTTAAAAACTAGCTATTCTCTCAAGGCTGAAGCGTCAACATCCTTCTTAAGTATTTCATGTTCCTCACAGATCTTCTCACATCACACTGAGTAGACATTAAAACCATTGGGTCTGTATGAAGCAAGATACAGGTCTGAACCTGAAGTTAGATATTGCACTACCAGCTGCTTGTTTTATGACCATGAGAAAGTGACTTAGCTTACTTTATTTCATTATCCCTTCCATAATTTAGATTTACAATTTTCTCCCATCAGCTATTATATCCCATGAGCATATTCTTATGTCTGATTTTTCTCACTCTGGCACATCCTTCATTATCTTCCTCAGAGTTATTCTCCCCAAAGTCATTGATCATGTCATTCCTTCATCTAAGAAACTGCTTAGGAAAATATTGCCAAAAAACAGAAAAAGCTTTAAATGCGAGGTTTGTCAATATAACGACATACAGAGTCTTCAGTCTGACCCCTGGCTCCTCATGTCTTTGATTTGCTGTCATTTCCCATGTAGTAGAGCTACACTGGTTTTCTTTACATGTTCCTAAACACATCATATGCCTTAGCACACCTGGGAACTTTCTAATTTTATTCCCATTCCCTAGAGGGAGTTTTGTCTTTTTAGCTTAGCTGAAAAATGTATTATCTTTTAAGACTCAGCTTCATTTTTATTTCTAACTTTGGTCAGATTTCATTATAGTTCTCTGTTTTATTGTGACTTTTTAAAGTATCTTTCTTCCCTTGTACTTCTCCAAAGGTTCAGGCCATATCTTTTTTATCTTTGAGTCCCAAATCAGAAATTATTACTGGCACAAAATAGAAATAAGTTTGAAGCTTTTAATACATACATAAATTCGTTTGTTAAAAGTACTAATGTAAACTATACAGCCTGATTTCATTCTGGCTTTACTAGCATTGGTAGGTCAACTATGATACGTACTTCAAATCTATAGTTTTCAAGTTGATATGATTCTTAACGGTGAACATTAGAATTACTTTGGGGAGCTTTAAAAAAAATTACAGTGCCCAAATCTAACTCCTGAACCAGTTAATTCAGAATCTTTCAGGTTGGACCTAGGTGTGGGCATTTACAAAAACAAAAGAAATCACAAACATTTGTAGATGATTTTAACGTGCAATTAAGATTGAGAAGCACTAGTTTACAGGACTCATCGTCTTATTTGAAATATATGTTAAGTGACCTTTTCCAATTTGTTTACTACAGTATTCCTGTTTTTAAATTATGTATGGGCACTTTATAAAAATATTAATCACTGTCATATTTTCTATAAAATATTACCTTATTGATACTTATCTTCTAATTATTTTGCCTTTAGGATGCAACCATTTAAAATTTTTGTTTAGCCAAAGGTGACTATATTTTTTATTAATAATTTTGGGGGGCCCTTTTGGGGAGATCTAAAAAGTTTTTATCCCTACAGAAGTTGATTAATATTCAATTCTGTTTAGTTCCAGGTTTTTCCTATGGTTTGGTAAAAACAAAACTTACAAATTTTATAAAACATTCACTTAAATAACTCTTTAATCTGGACTTTGCTATATGATATGAGCTACATCATGTAACACTGTCTCATTTCAGAACTGACCTCTAATATATCTGTGTTTCTGTGTCCTAGGAGAATTCTTTAAAAATAAAATTGTCCAGAAGTAAAGTCTCGGTCAGATCGTGAGGACATTTTTTTTAGTCCTAGGGCATTCTGATTGATCACTCTCTTGGGGAAAAAAGTCTATTTTGGGAATACAGAAAGCACATGTTTAAATCTTGAACTGCCTTGCTGCTTCTGCAAGAGTGTGGAAGCTCAGAAAAATCCTCAATTGTCTTACAGTCTGAAAAGAAAAAGAGACAGTCTTAATGAATGTGAATTTTTTAAACTTGAAACTATATGATACCTACTGACCTCCCTAGTTTATCCTAAAGCCTCAGGTACATGTGGTCTTGCAGAATGACAATCTGAAGAAGCAGCACAGGAGCTCGCTAGTCTTGTAGTAGTTGCTAAGGTATAAAAGTGGCTCCCAACACTTATCCAACAGATTAAAAAACAACTGTGGGCCGGGCGCAGTGGCTCACGCGTGTAATCCCAGCACCTTGGGAGGCCGAGGCAGGCGGATCATGAGGTCAAGAGATCGAGACCATCCTGGCCAACATGGTGAAACCCCGTCTCTACTAAAAAAATACAAAAATTAGCTGGGCATGGTGACGTGCACCTGTAGTCTCAGCTACCCGGGAGGCTGAGGAAGGAGAATTGCTTGAACCCGGGAGGCGGAGGTTGCAGTGAGCCGAGATCGCACCACTGCACTCCAGCCTGTCATCTGGCGACAGAGCGAGACTCTGTCTCCAAAAAAAAAAAAGAAACCACAACTGTGGCATGTATTATCTAGTGGTGCTAGAAAGTACTACGAATACTACGAAGTTAAATGCCCTATAAGCATAATAAAGTAGTTTGATGTCTGGAGTTTTTTTGGTTTTTTGGAAAACAGATGACCTTTCAGCCAAATCTTGGTTAATAGATGGGAAGACAAGAAGGAAGATGGGTCTCAGTTTCCTATTTTACTTTTTTGACATGATTACTCAACCTAGAAATACTTTCATTGGGCTATTTTCTTTTCCTTATAATTAAGAGGAAAAACAGTTGAACCTAGTATTTTGTAGTCTTTGAAAAAATGGGCTTATTTCAAATGACAATTTGAAAAAATTATTTTTAATTGTTTCTTTACTTAAGAAATACTTAACATCTTTTTATTCATAACTGGTTTCTGGATAGGTATGTTATTTATTTAAGCATCCTTTTATATTTGCTTAAAACACAGAATTTGCTTCCCTAGACCTATGGGTAAATATCTAGAAATGCTTTCTGACCAAAATTTGAACATGTAGTATGAGGATAATAAAATTAATCTTGGAGACAAGGGTAATTAGTTCTGTTGTTAAAGTAAAGAAATCTGTAGACCTGCTTCTAACCTGGCTATCCAGAACTGCCCATCAGTTGATGGAAGGGGTAGTTTAACAAATTCTAGGAGGCAATAATGCAGTCCTCTAGGTTCAATACCATGTTTTCCACTTGATGATTTTAGTCATGAGTCTTGGATTCATTTAGAGATTGGATTGTAACTATTTTCAAGGTCACAAACTGAATGAACAATGCATTTGTGATCATTTTAGCTATCCTCTTGAATTTATAGATGATTGTCAATTTTTAGAAGTTCAATATGGGAGAAGTGAAAGTGTCAAGGACGGTACCTTAATTCATGAGCAGCTGCACTTTGGCCCTTTGCAAATGGTAATAGACAGCATTTGTTAAATTGCGGCCATCTAGGAGTAAAGGATTTGAACTCCTGAAGGACTGGTGGTCCATTCCTGAAAGCACTTTATTGTTTAGAAAGCTCTGAGAAGAGGGCTGGGCGTGGTGGCTCATGCCTGTAATCCTAGTACTTTGGGAGGCCTAGATCAGCTGATCACTTGAGGTCAGGAGTTCGAGACCAGCCTGGCCAACATTGTAAAACCTCACCTCTACCAAAAATACAAATGTTAGCTGGGCACAGTGGTGCATACCTGTAATCCCAGCTACTCAGGAGGCTGAGGCAGGAGAACTGCTTGAACCTGGGAAGTAGAGGTTGCAGTGAGTCGAGATCACACCATTCCAGTCCAGCCTGGGAGACAGAGCAAGACTCTCTCAACACCCACCCCCCACACCACCCACACACACAAAATAAAAATGAAAAAGAAAGCTCTGAGAAGAGGACCCAGAAAATCTGTATTAGGGCAAATGAGTAGTCCATAGAGCCTTGAATCTGTCTAAATATGGCACTTCATGATCTATTTTCTCATGTAGGATATTCTGGCTCTGTAATATTATTCTCAGAGGTTAAGATTACATACAGAATTACCTGGGTATTATTTTAATCAAACTCCTTTTTGCATTTCATGTTGTGTTATGGAAACATGTTTAACTCGCTTGTATTTTTGGCAGTGAGGCCCAATTTCAAAATTGTGATATTTTTAAAAGGGTGAAATCATAATGGTATCAAAATGTTTTATTTCCTATAAAACTTTATGATTGGGGACATATTCATGTTCCTTCAGCAACTCAGGAAAGGAATTCTTATGTTTTCTGTTTGCTAACTGAGTTTAGATGACATAGATCTTAAAGCCTGTCAAGTTATTAACATACTTATACTGTTTAATAGCATGCTGCAGATGAAAATGAGAATACAGATTGTTAAAGGTTTCTGTTGCAAGTTAGGTTTATAATATAAACATTAAAACTAAGTTTGAAAAACATGGCACATGATATTGTGTTCCTTCACACAGTAGTCTTGTATTTTCTCAATGTGTTATTATTTGTTGTGGGGATATTTTAAGATATATGCATTATTTTGTTTTTTACTGTTTTTGTAGGCAATCCCTATTCAACAGAGGAAAATTGGTCAACTTGCTTCTGGAATGAGATCATCACTTCTTCCTACAGATTATCTGGTTGAAATTAACAAAATTTTACTTTGCATGGATGATGTTGAATTATCGCTTAATATTCCAGAGCTCAAAACTGCTGTCTATGAAGACTTCTCTTTTCAGGAAGACTCTCTGAAGGTAGATCTCCAGGCACTGTGTTTGAATGCCCACAGTTAATGCAGAAGTAGAACGTTTGTTCTTGTGCCTACTTAGATGGTCTATATGTTTTACCATTTGTGCCAGGGAGTTAATAAGGTGTATGACTAGTAAAGCTTTCCTATATTTTCCAAGAAAATATAATACATTTTGAATTTTTAAAAACTGGGTATGGATTAAGTGTGCACAGTTATTTCCAACATCAGAGCCTTTGTTTAAAATTAAACACAGACACAGACCACCTTTCTGTCTTATAAATTAGATTGTCAGTTGATGTTAATTGTCAGCATTTATCAGGCAATTTATAATGATTTAAAATTGGCCAGTTGTTGAGGTATGGAGTGGCATCTTGATTGTAAGTTAGTTAAACTTTTAAATTCTAGCAAGGCATTTTCATGTAACTTGATGGCATTTGTGTATAAAGTCACAATAAAGTCACTGATAATATGGATTTGATAGTGCATTTCTGTCATTTAAACATTATTAGACATTTGAAAATATTAATATTTCTAGCTTCAAATGCCTTATTACCCATAGAGAATGTTATTGAAGCTTTTCATGTGTCCTGTACATATGCTACTATTGTGAGGACTTTTTTCTTGCCATGAGTATATTATGTAGCATATTTCACACACTTTGGTCAATATGGGGTATCATTTTTTTAAAAAGTTCCCAGTTTTCATGAGCAACAATGCTTATGCCTCATTATTACTTTAAATGAGTGTTCTATAACATAAATTTCTGGTCATCCGTGATTCCTTTTTTGTTACTTTGCTGGATTTTGTTAATCCATAACAATATATTTTTAGAATGTCAAAGACCAACTGGACAAACTTGGAGAGCAGATTGCAGTCATTCATGAAAAACAGCCAGATGTCATCCTTGAAGCCTCTGGACCTGAAGCCATTCAGATCAGAGATGCACTTACTCAGCTGAATGCAAAATGGGACAGAATTAATAGAATGTACGGTGATCAGAAAGGGTATGTGTAAATGAAATTAATATTTAATTTTTATAAAATACCTGCAAGTTCATGGGCCATGAAAAAGGTCATGTGTACATTGAGATTAATGAGAATATGTTTCATATCCTTGTAGTTTGCCTTATTTGTTTTTTTTTCCTCTTGAGATAGAGCCTTGCTCTGTCACCCAGGTTGGAGTGCAGTCATGCGACCTTGGCTCATTGCAACCTCTGCCTCCTGGGCTCAAGTGATTCTCCTGCCTCAGCCTCCCAAGTAGCTGGGATTACAGGCATACACCACCACGCCTGGCTAATTTTTGTATTTTTAGTAGAGATGGGGTTTCACTATGTTGGCCAGGCTGGTCTCAAACTCCTGACCTCAGGTGATCCTTCTGCCTGGGCCCCTCAAAGTGCTGGGATTACAGATGTGAGCCATCGCACCCAGTTTAATAAATTATGATGAATATAGTTCCTTAAAGGAGGAATGTGATCATGTACCGATGACCATTTATAACATAATATCTTTATAATATAGACACACTTCTAATTTTTAGTGTCTATATAGTGTCCATTCTCTTTAAAAAATTAAAGAAAATTTTCATTAATGTTCACTTTCTCTGTACATTTGATGATTAATGTGAGTGAAGAAGAGAGGCAGCTACAGCTAATTAGAATCCATATATAACACCAAACCCTTTTTTATAACCTTCTGTTTAAATAAATGCTTTTGAGCTGCCTTCTTACTAGATTTTGACCAGGCCTATTAATAGAAATGAAAATGGGTAGATTTTTGTCAGTAGCTGTAGATGTGATGGAAAGGCAAATAAGTTGTGAAATAGCCCAGCAGAAAGTGCTGTGTAAGAGGAAAGGGAGCACAGAATGATACATTGGGTGACTTGAGAGGCGTACACACAAAAACTAGGCATCGTGTTCCTCATCTGTTTTTTTATGTTAGCCCACGTACTTTATGTGACTAAACGAATCCTTGAAAAGATAGCTTTTAGTGGCCTTTGGTATATTCCTTCGTATGAGTTTTACAAATTTTTTCTTTGTTCATTTAGAGAACATTCTTTTACATACATCTTTATCCATACTTATATTTCATTAGGCTTGATCATTAGATGAAGACAAATTTCTTTAAAAATAGTGACATTTTAAACCTCTGTATAATATCATGAAATTGATTAGTATACCTCTGCCAACAGTATTTGTAAAAATGCCCTTCTTCTTGAGCCCTTACTAACATTGACAGGTGTTTTTAAAATTATTTTTAAAAAAATTTGTCAATTTTATAGTGATAGGTTACATCTCACTTCTGTTTTCATTTTTTTTATTATTAGTGCTAATAATTTGTATACATTAATTTTGTATCCTGAAACTTTGCTGAATTTATTTACCAGTTTTAGGAGCTTTTTGGATGAGTTGTTAGGGTTTTCTAGGTACATGATCATGTTATCAGCAAACAGTGGCAGTTTGACTTCCTTTTAAGCAATTCAGCTGCCCTTTTGTCTGACTGCTCTGTCTAGGACTTCTGGTACTGTGTTGAATAGAAGTGGTGAAAGTGGCCGTCCTTGTCTTGTTCCAGTTCTCAGGGGGAATGGTTTCAACTTTTCCTGCTTCAGTATAATGTTGGCTATGGGCTAAAAGTGATAGATGGGTTTTATTACCTGAAGGTATGCTCCTTCTATGCTAATTTTGCTGAGGATTTTAATCATAAAGAGATGCTAGATTTTGTCAAATGCTTTTTCTGAGTCTATTGAGATGATCCTGTGATTTTTGTTTTAATTCTCTTTATGTGGTATATCACATTTATTGACTTGTGTATGTAAAACCATCCCTGCATCCCTAGTATGAAACACACTTGATCATGGTGTATTCTGTTTTTGATATGCTATTGGATTCAAATAGCTAGTATTTTGTTGAGGACTTTTGCATCTATGTTCATCAGGGATTTGGTCTGTAGTTTTCTTTTTTGTTATGTCTTTTTCTGGTTTTGGTATTAGGGTAATACTGGCTTCATGGAATGACTTAGGGAGGATTCTGTCTTTGTCATTTGGAATAGTGTTAATAGGATTGGTACCAATTATTCTTTGAATGTCTGATAGAATTCAGCTGTGAATACATTTGGTAGTGGACTTTTTTTTGCTGGTAATTCTTTAATTACAATTTTAATCTTGCTGCTTGTTATTGGTCTGTTTAGAGTTTCTATTTCTTCCTGGTTTAATTTATATTTCCAGGAATTTATCCATCTTCTCTAGGCTTTCTAGTTTATGCATATTAAAGTGTTCATAATAGCCTTGAATGATCTTTTCTGTTTCTGTGGCATTAGTTGTAATATCACCCATTTTGTTTCTAATTGAGCTAATTTGGATCCTCTCTCTTTTCTTGGTTAATCTCACTAATAGTCTATCAGTTTTATTTATCTTTTCTTTTTCTCCTTCTTTCTCTCTTTCTCTCTCTCCTTCCTTCCTCCCCTTCCTCTCCTTCCTGCCCTCCTCCCTTCTTCCTCCCCTCCTCCCTTCCTCCCTTCCTCCCTTCCTCCCTTCTTTCCTTCCTTCTCTCTCACTGTCTTTTCTTTCTTTCTTGTTTCGCTCTTGCTGCCCAGGCTAGAGTATAGTGGCGTGATCTCAGCTTATTGCAACCTCTCCCTTCCAGTTTCAAGAGATTCCCCTGCCTCTGCCTCCTGAGTAGCTGGGATTACAGATGCCCACCACCATGCCTGGCTAATTTTTTGTATTTTTAGTAGAGATGGGGTTTCACCATGTTGGCCAGACTGGTCTCAAACTCCTGACCTCATGATCCACCTGCCTCGGCCTCCCAAAATGCTGAGATTGCAGGTGTGTGCCACCGCACCCAGCTTATTTATGTTTTCAAAGAACCAGCTTTTTGTTTCATTTATTTTTTGTATTTTTTTGTTTGTTTGTTTCACTTTCTTTTAGTTCTGTTCTGATCTTGGTTTTTTGTTTTTTTTTTTTCTTCTGTTGGGTTTGGGTTTGGTTTGTTCTTGTTTCTCTAGTTCTTTGAGGTGTGACTTTAGATTATCTATTTGTGCTTTTTTAGACTCTTTGATGTAGGCATTTAATGCTATGAACTTTCCTGTTAGCACTGCTTTTGCCATATCCCAAAAGTTTTGGTAGGTTGTGTCACTATTATTGTTCAGTTCAAATAATTTTTAAATTTCCATCTTGACTTCATTGTTGACCCAATGATCATTCAGAAGCTGGTTATTTCATTTCCATGTATTTGCATGGCTTTGAGGATTCCTTTCAGAGTTGATTTCCAATTTTGTTCCACTGTGGTCTGAGAGAGAATTTGATGTAATTTCAGTTTTCTTAAATTTGTTGAGACTTGTTTTGTGGCTTATCACATGGTCTATCTTGGAGAATGTCCCATGTGCTCATGAATAGAATGTATATTCTGCAGTTGTTGGGTAGAATGTTCTGTATATATCTGTTAAGTCCATTTGTTCTAGGGTATAGGTTAATTCCATTGTTTCTTTGTTGACTTTCTGTCTTGATGACTTATCTAATGCTGTAAGCAGAGTATTGAAGTCCACCACAATTAATGTGTTGCTGTTTATCTCATATCTTAGATCTAGTACTAATTGTTTTACAAATTTGGGAGCCCCAATGTTAGGTGCATATATGTTTAGGATTGTGATAATTTCCTGTTGGAGTAGTCATTTAATCATTGTATAATGTCCCTCTTTGTCTTTTTTTAACTGCTGTTGCTTTAACATTTGTTTTGTCTGATATAAGAAGCTACTCCTGCTTGCTTTTGGTGTCCATTTGCATGGAATATCTTTACCTTAAGTTAATGTGAGTTTTTATGTGTCAGGTGAGTCTCTTGAAGATAGTAGATACTTGATTGGTGAATTTTTATAATTCTGCTATTCCATGTATTTTAAATGGAGCAATTAGGTCATTTACATTCAATGTCAGTATTGACATGTGAGGTACTATTCTACTTATCATGCTATTTGTTGCCTGAATACCTTGTGTTTTTTTTTTTTTCATTTTGTTATTGTTTATAGGTCCTTTGAGTTTTATGTCTTTTTTTTTAATTTTTTTTGAGCCAGAGGTTGTTGCTCTGTCACCCAGGCTGGAGTGCGGTGGCGTGATCTCGGCTCAATGCAACCTCCGCCTCCTGGGTTCAAGCGATTCTTCATCTCAGCCTCCCAAGTAGTTGGCACTACAGGGACCCGCCACCACACCTGGCTAATTTTTATATATATATATATTTTTTAGTAGAGTCGGGGGTTCACCATGTTGGCCAGGCTGGTCTCAAACTCCTGACCTCAGGTGATCTGCCTGCCTGGGCCTCCCAAAGTGCTGGGATTACAGGTGTGAGCCACTGCACCCAGCTGAGATTTATGCTTTAAGGAGTATTTTGTTTTATTTCATTTCCAGGATTTGTTTCAAGATTTAGGGGTCCTTTTAGCAATTCCTGCAGTGCTGGCCTGGTAGCGGAAAATTCTCTCAGTATTTGTCTGAAAAAGACTGTCTTTCCTTCATTTATGAAACTTAGTTTCACTGGATACAAAATTCCTGGCTGATAATTGTTTTGTTTAAGGAAGCTAAAAATAGGCTCTCAATCCCTTGTAGCTAGTAAGGTTTCTATTGAGAAATCTGCTATTAATCTGATAGGTTCTTCTTTATAGGTAACCTGATCCTTGCTTCACAGCTGTTCAGATTCTTTCTTCTTTAGATAACCTGATGACTATGTGCCTAGGCAATGATTTTTTGCAATGCATTTTCCAGGTATTTTTTGAGCTTTTTGTATTTGGATATATAGATCTCTAGCAAGGCTGGGGAGGTTTTCCCAAATTATTCCCTCAAATATGTTTCCCATACTTTTAGATTTCTCTTCTTTCTTGGGAACACAAATTATTCTTCAGTTTGGTCTTTTAACATAATCCCCAACTTCATGAAGGCTTTGTTCGTTTTTTTTAAATTCTTTGTTTTTTGTCAGATTGTGTTAATTCAAAAGCCTTGTCTTCAAGCTCTGAAGTTCTTCTGTTTGTTCGATTCTATTGCTGAGACTTTCCAGTGCATTTTGCATTTCTCTAAATGTGACTTTGATTTCCAGAAGTTGTGTTTGTTTTTTATTTATGCTATTTATTTCACTGGAGATTTTTTTCATTTATATACTGTGTCATTGTTTTGATTTCTTTAAGTTGGTCTTCACTTTTCACTGGTGCGTCATTGTCTGGTTTAATAATTGACTCTCTGGATTCTTTTTCTGGCAATTCAGAGATTTTGCCCTGGTTTTGATCCACTGCTGGTGAGCTAGTGTGATCTTTCATGAGTGTTAAAGAACCTTGTTTTGTCATATTACCATAATTGTTCTGGTTCCTCTCATTTGGGTAGGGTATGTCAGAGGGAAGATCTGGGACTCAGTGGCTGCTGTTCTGATTCCTTTGTCCCATGAGGTGCTCCCTTGATGTGGTGGTCTCCTCCTTCCCCTAGGAATGGGGCTTCCTGAGAACTGAACTGCAGTGATTATTATTTCTCTTCTGGAGCTAGCCATCCAGCAGAGCTACTGGGTACTGAGCTGGTACTGGGGGGTGTCTGCAAAGAGTCCTGTCATGTGATCCGTCTTCAGGTCTCTCAGCTGTGTATACCAGCACCTCCTCTGGTGGAAGTAACAGGGGAGTCGAGTGGACTCTATGAGTGTCCTTGGATGTATTCTAGTTAAGTTTGCTGGTTTTGTACTGGTTGCCCTCCAACCAGGAGATGGTGCTTTCAAGAGAGCATCAGTTGCAGTAGTATAGGGAGGAGTAGTATAGGCGGTGGCAGGCCCATAGAGCTCCTGAGAGATTATGTTCTTTGTCTTTGGCTACCAGGGCAGGTAGAGAAAGACCATCAGGTAGGGGCAGGGTTAGGTGTAACTGAGTCAGACTCTCCTGGGGCAAGGCTTGTTGCGACTGCTGTGGGGGATGGGGCTGTGGTTCCCAGGCCAATGGAGTCATATTCCCAGGGGGATTATGGCTGCCTCTGCTGTGTCAGACAGGTCGCCAGGGAAGTGGGGGAAAGCTAGAAGCTGCCAGCCTCACTTAGTTTCCATACAGCCCACAGCCCAAAAGGCCAGTCTCACTCCTATCGGGACCCCCCCACCCATCCCCCCTGCCAACAGCACAGCACTGGGTTTATTTCCAGGTAGCTGGTGAGCAGGGTTGAGAACTTGCCCCAGGTGACTAGTCTCCCAGCTGAGAACACAAGCTGACTCCCAGTTCCTCAGCTCTCCCACGGAGCAGCAGTAGCATTGACGTTCTCCGAAGGGTTTGTAGATTCTCTGAGTTTTAGTGGTATGTTCCTGTGCTAGTTCTTGGAACAAAGTTCACTGTATGTCTCCACACACTGCTCTATTTGTCTGAGTGGGAGCGGCAAGTTAGTCCTGCCTCCTGTAACCATTTTTTTTATTCTCTGTCACTGACGATACTTTCTAAGTTTAATTTTTTTATTTTCAACGTCTTTAGATCATTAAAACAGCCTTGTAGCATCCTAAATTTTGAAATTGTGATTGTTGTGTAGTTATTGTGAATTTTTGTGAACAATAATGAGTGTCTTAATATCATCTCATAGTGCCTTTTTTTAAATGCTTTTTTTTTCTGTCATACTCAATAGAAAATTGCTTTACTGTGGGCAGTATTAGTAAAATTTTAGAAGTAATTTTTATGGAAAAAGGCAATATACATATTATTTAGGGGTTATTAATATTAGGAATCATTTTATTTTTTAAATAATATATATTTTTTACATAAAATATAAATTTTATTAATATTACTAAGATCTCAGAGACTACTTCTAAAACTCTTTCAACTCTATTACTCTAAACAAAAAGATAGGAGAAAAAATTATTTAGGATCCTAGTCGAATAAAGCTTTTCCTTTTTATACCTATTTCATATATTCCAAATATGACAAATGCTGGATTTTACTTGGCCATCTTTAAGAGTTTGGTTTAAACATAAATCTCAATAGCCCTCTGTCTTACTGCATAACTTGGGCTCTGCATGCAGTTTCATACTTTGCTGTCTTTAGGTAAATGGGACAGTCAGGACTAGTCATTGGCCAAAGTACGTTAATCTGCTCAGGCAACCATAATAAGATAACGTAGACTGCATAGCCTAAACAACAGACATTGACTTTCCCACAGTTCTGGAGGCTAGAAGTTCAAGATTAAGGTGCCAGTAGAGTTGGTGTCCAGTGAGGACTCTCTTATTGGTCTGCAGATGGCCACCTTCCTGCTGTATCCTTACATGAGAGAGCTCCTTGGTGACTCTTCCTCTTATCATAAGGACGCCGGTCCTTTCAGACTAAAGCCCCACACTTATGGGCTTATTTAACCTCATTTGCCTCCTGAAAAGCTCTGTCTCTAAGTACAGTCACATTGCAGGGTTAGGGCTTCAATGGAAGAATTTTGATTGGACAAAATTCAGTATATAACATATAGATAAAGGAGTATATGGGCAGTTTGAAGTGTTTTGGCCTTTTGTGCTTTATTCTTGCCAGGAACTAAGTGTTCTGGCAGTAAAACAACATATATTTTCCCCAAGAAAATAATGGATCATATTTTATATTTCACAGTATTTAAATGTTAAATGTATAAAGTCGGAAGGGTTAACATGCCTACAGCTAATCGATTCTGATTTTTCAAGCCAGAGAAGGCTACATCTTTTTAGTTAAAAAGCTGCTCCAGTGTGTGCATGAGTGTGTTCATGAGTGTGTACATATGTGTGTGTACATGAGTGTGCGTGTGTGTACATGAGTGTGCATGTGTGTATGTATGAGAGAGATGATTTGGTAGCTGGTGGTGTGAGCACATTGCTTTACCCTTGGTATGATGCCTGTATCTCTAAGAGGACTTATTACATGTATCCCACTACAAAAATTGGTTTTGTGGAACATTAAGTTGTGAATTCAGTTGTTTGAGATCTTTCTGTTTAAATGAGATTGGATTTTCTTTTTTAGAATAATTGCTCCTAGGCAGTCCTGAAAAGTTTAGAAACCTATTTTATTTTGTTCATTGTCCTCTAGATATTTTGATAGGGCTATGGAAGAATGGAGACAGTTCCATTGTGACCTAAATGACCTCACACAGTGGATAACAGAGACTGAAGAGTTACTGGTTGATACCTGTGCTCCGGATGGCAGCCTGGACTTAGAGAAAGCCAGGGTGCATCAGCAGGTGAGTTCTTTCTGTAAGAGGAGTGTGTTGCACATATGGTTAGTGTAAAAATACTCCTTAGTGGCTAATATGGAAAACAATTTTATTTAAACAATTTTATATTTAGAATAAAATGTGTAAAATTTTATGCCTAAGATTATACCAAGAACAAAAAAATATATGCATGCCTTACCTCTGTTTTTTGTACTTAAACACTGAGACATCTCATTTTTTTTATATCATTGATAGTTATCATAAAAGTAAATTATTCTGGAATGACAGCAGGGCAGCTGCTCATGTAAGTCTAATTCAGCCTTGGGAAAATATAACACAAAGTTAGTTCTGCTGTTAACAATAGGTCTTTAAAAATAATGGTAGACAGCACACAACAATTTCAGTTCTACCATTGATAAAAATATTTTCTCTTTTATTAAATTTTTAAAATGTGTTTTATTTAGAAGAACATGACAAGTTAAAGAGAATTCATTTATTTTTCTTATAAATATGTTAATGCATTTTTTAAAATTTTTGGAGTTACAGATAAGTGTTTAAATTTGACTTGAAAATATTTATTGAATCTGTTACTTAAACATTTGGAGACCAATGTATTAGTCTGTTCTCATGCTTCTAATAAAGACATACCCAACAGTGGGTAATGTATAAAGGAAAGACGTTTAATTGACGCACAGTTCGGCATGGCTGGGAGGCCTCAGGAAATTTACAGTCATGGTAGAAGGGGAAACCAACACATCCTTCTTCATATGGCGGCAGGAGAGAGAAGTGCTGAGCAAAGTGGGGGAAAAGTTCCCTATAAAACCATCAGATCTCATGAGTACTCACTATCACTAGAACAGCATGAGAGTAACCACCCCCTGATGATTCAGTTACCTCCTACGAGGTCCCTCCCATGGCACATGGGTATTATGAGAGCTACAATTCAAGATGACATTTGTGTGGGGACACAGCCAAACCATATCAACCAGTGAAGCAGTATCTTGGCAAAATGCACATTTAGGTTTACTTTTATATGGTAGGACACAAGGGCATAAGGAAGTATTGGGGTATATTATTTTTTAAAAGCAATGCCTTCAAGCACTTATTTTAAAGAAGATGAGCAACTCATTTTCATCAAACATGATTGATGCTTATACTTTACTGTAAACAGCCGTTACTTGTTTTATGTTATTAGGCTGTCCTGTTTCCTTGTGTTTTGCCTGATGCCATTCATGACAGTGGGTTAGATTTCAAAATAAATTTCATTTAGCATGTTTATTGAAATGGAATTAAATAGTTTAAAAACGCCTTTTTAAATATAAACTATTTTTCCCGAAACTTGTTTCTTTAACACTTGAATTGATACCACAATACCTGGGTGGATTCATTGCATCAGAATCCTTTGATTATTAGTGAAATTAATCTTGAGTTGTGGTCTGTTACAGGAACTTGAGGAGGGTATCAGCAGCCACCAGCCCAGTTTTGCAGCACTAAACCGAACTGGGGATGGGATTGTGCAGAAACTCTCCCAGGCAGATGGAAGCTTCTTGAAAGACAAACTGGCAGGTTTAAACCAACGCTGGGATGCAATCGTTGCAGAAGTGAAGGATAGGCAGCCAAGGTGATTTGGCTATGATTGTTTGCAGGCACAGGAGTGAGCATATTTTGGGTAGAATCTTTTAAGATGCAATCCAATGAGTTATTTTATTGTTTGACATTATAGTAGGAATTTTACTGACATTTAAGACCTCTGCTGCCCCTGCTCCCCCTTACCTGTATTTTTAGGCTGTCCGTAAAGTCTCACTTTTCTGCTCAAATATTACATGTGTAAAAAACAAACACCTTTATTCCTTTTATTTACTACTGCTTATTATGATATGGTGATTATGGTAGGAATTTAAAGTAGTTGAAAGAGCTGACACCAGGTTTCAGGTTTGAAGGTCTGGGTTCAAGGTCAGACCTTCCCCTTGCTTATTTCCTGACTGAGCCTACATTAGTAATCCCTCTCAGCAAGTTGTTTTAGTGTCAGATGTGTTCTATTCTGTGCTTTACAAATAATAAAGTTTTTTTGTCTATGTAACATAATACATATAATATAGTATTATTAATTTTTATGTCAGATTATGTTACAAGGCCTCAGATTTTATTTGGGTGTCTTCTGGTTGCAAATACATTTGATTATCAATGAATATAACGCTCAATACTATACATACTTTCCATATTTAAAATTATTTGACATTATTTTCTGAGACAGTCAATGAATTATTTCTACTTTCTACATTTCTGCTTTGCTTCATATATTCCATCATTAATGATCTTTTTTGTTTGTTTGTTTCTTATTGGTAGTTTGTGGTTAAAAAGTACAAGATTTTTTTTTTCTGTTAATTTTAACACTGTTGATGAAGTATTATTTTAATAACAAGCTATCATTTTGTGAAAGGCCAATCGAATACTTTATCAGGCCCAATATTATTATGAAACCTAAAATATTCGAGTATGATGTGACCTACAGTTGCTTTTTATTTAACAAATCTATTATTTTGTGTGTTTTGGTAAGAGACAAGTAATAATTTGTATGGTGTGGTTGAGAGATTACCACGTGGCAGAGAGGGTGTATGGCACTTTGCACACATTGCCTCGTTTAGACCTCACAGTTCCCCTCTAGGGGACTGTTAGGTTTTGTACAGCTTTGGAAACAGGCTGAGAGAGGTGAGGTTAAATAACTTGTCCAAGATCTCATAGAAAGTAAGTAACCATGCTATTTTATTCTCTCAAATATTGTGCTATACAAACTTGGAAAGACCACAGAACTGTCTGGCCAAAGTGTCTTCCTCTGGTAATGAGAACTATATTACCACAGAGGATTGTTATGAGGATTAAATGCAGTAGTGTTTGTGAAATGTACATGCCTTGATTATTCATAGTAAACACTTAAAGTATCCGTTTCTTATGACAGCAAGTTAGCTTAGAACTTATTCTCTAAGCATATTATTGCTGAATTTTGCCAGTGATTGATTAATGACCTCATCGATATTTATTGAGCTCTGTGTTTAGCACTGAAGATACAAGTATGATTAAGGAACTCAAAGACTAAGAAGAAGAAGAATGATTAAAGAAAATATCATTAAGAAGATACAGTGTCAGAGAGGCAGATGTGATGGGCTCTGGAACTTACGTATCACAGAGGAGGGATGCTGAAGCAGAGTTTTAAAGCATTTATGGGAATTTTCTATAAATTTCTTCTAGGGAGGCCCTTCTAGGCAGAAGTAAAACAGCAGTCCCAGTCCGGGTGTGGTGGCTCATGCCTGTAATCCCAGCACTTTGCTAGGCTGAGGCACGCAAATCCCAAGGTCAGGAGTTTGAGATCAGCCTGGCCAATACGGTGAAACCACCATCTCTACTAAAAATAGAAAAAATTAGCTGTGTGTGGTGGTGGGCACCTGTAATCTCAGCTACTTGGGAGTCTGAGGTAGGAAAATCACTTGAACCTGGGAGGCAGAGGTAGCAGTGAGCCAAGATAGTGCCACTGCACTCTAGCTTGGGCAGCAGTGTGAGACTCTGTCTCAAAAAAAGAAAGGAAAAGAAGGGCAGGACAGGGGAGGGGAGGGAAGGAAAAAACCAGGGAGAGGAGGGGAGGGGAGGGGACGGGAAAAAAAAACCAGCAGAGGTGGGAGGCATGAATGGCATTGTCTTGTGAGAGATCTGCAAAGGATTGAAAGGAGAGGAGGGTTCAATGACCAGAGGGAGGATTGGAAACTGAGGTCCCATAAGATTTTATATGTCATGCTATTTAGTTTGCATGGAGGGTCCTAGCTTGAAATGATTTATCTCCTAGACCTTTATTGGTTTTTTGAGACAGTCACTCCGTCGGCCAGGCTGGAGTGTAGTGGAGTGATCTCGGCTCACTGGCTCACTGCAACCTCTGCCTCCCGGGCTCAAGCAATTCTCGTGCCTCAGCCTCCTAGTAGCTGGGATGACAGGTGCCTGCCACCATGCCTGTCTAATTTTTGTATTTTTAGTAGAGATGGTGTTTCACCATGTTGGCCAGGCTGGTCTAGAACTCCTGGCCTCAAGTTGATCTGCTGGCCTTGCCCTCCCAGTGTTCTGGGATTAGAGGCATGAGCCACTGTGCCCTTCCTCTCCTAGACCTTTTTAAGGAAAAACATGTACCTGCTGGGAGATTTTAACAATAAATGCAGTAATTCTTCTAAAGATTGTCAAATAGATCTCTGTGGAGTGTGGTAATTACAGCTGCTAAAACTAACAAGGTGAAGCTAATACATATTTTACTCATTTTTTAGATGAAAAGAATAATGAATCTCCTCCCCAACAGCTTCTATTTTGACTAAAACAATGTTTTTGTAAATTAATGCTAAACTTCACTTTAGGTTTGTAATCTATATTAAATTGGGACTATCTTGGATAGATTGTATGTATATTGTTATCAAAGTCTTTGAGAATTATCACAGAGTTCAATTTGTTTTTGTATTGAGTGCCTGTAGTTAAGCATTTGCATAGTTCAGCAACTTACGGAGTTATTTCTTCCTGTTTTTGGAGACAGGGTCTTGCTCTGATGCCCAGGCTGGAGGGCGGTGGTGCAATCATAGCTCACTGCATCCTTGAGCTTCTGGGCTCAAGTGATCCTCTCAACTTGGCCTCCTGAGTAGTTGGGGCTGCGAGTGTGTGCTACCACACCCAGCTGATTTTTAAATTGTTTGTAAAAATGGGGTCTCACCATGTTGTCCAGTCTCGTCTCGAACTCCTGGGCTCAAGTGGTCCTCCTGCCTCAGTCTTCCAAAGTGCTGGGATTACAGCCATGAGCCACCATGCCCAGTGGTATTATTCCTTAATGAGCAATTGTTATCTTCTATTTGAACATGAATGTATAAGTAGCTTTTACTCTTAGGGATCACATTTAAAATGTAGGTTATATTTAGCTAATTTGCAGATGAAAATACTAGGTGACTCAAATATGTCTTATTGAAATGGCTTGATAATGCTAGTTTCCTTCATAGTCCTATTTTCAAAGCACTAAATTAGTCATGATCATAAAATTTCAACTTTTTTTTGGAAACAAAAGGCCTATAATAGTATTTTGGGTGTTTCTAAAGTTGGTATTTGAGTTAAATACTTTTCAGTATGGAGGATGGATTACTTGCTTTAGTCTTAGTAATTAGTGCTATTGCTGTATTTATTTATTTTAATCATTTTTTTTTTTGAAATGGAGTTTCACTCCATTGCCCAGGCTGGAGTACAGTGGTGCAAACTCGGCTCACTGTCCACCTCCCAGGTTCAAGCAATTCTTCTGCCTCAGCCTCTCGAGTAACTGGGACTACAGGCACACAACACCATGCCCAGCTAATTTTTGTATTTTTGGTAGAGATGGAGTTTTACCATATTGGCCAGGCTGGTCTCGAACTCCTGACTTCATGATCCACTCACTTTGGCCTTCCAAAGTGCTGGGATTACAGACGCGAGCCACTGTGCCCAGCCTGTTTTTAATCTTAAAGGAGATTCTTCCTTGATGGATATTTAAAAATTATGATTTTGTTGTTATACTATCCTTCAGTTGTTGACTGTTTATTAAGTATATAAATATTATTTAACATTTTATTACGTATATTGCACCATTGTGTTAGACCTTTTGTGATTAGAAATGAAAACTCATAGCCATAAAAACGTATATTCTTATTAGGGATGGTGCAATATAATTCATTTAAAAATTGTATTCAGTTTTTAAACCAGCAGTTAATTATAGCAGCTATAAACATAAAGATACCACCAAGCTTTTAATAGCTTTCAAATCATTTAAAAAAATACATACTCTTATTTGTCACATGAGTTCTAATCATATTCCTATCTTCTGACAGATGGTTTATATTCTTGTAAATGTTATTCTTACAACACTATAAAGATCTAATTGAGGCAGTTCCTTTTTTATATTCATTTGACTGTTTTCCTTGCATCATTTAAAACTTCTGCTTTGTTGTTTTCTACATCTTTTTGTAACTTGGTGCTATATTCAAATATAATCGTTATTTTGTCGGGCGGCCACGTAGCTCAGTTGGTGAGCTCCTGGTGCTCAAATATAATCGTTATTTTAATGAGCTAGCCAAATTCACATGTTTCTTGTCTTCCCTAATACTTGTAAGATTCTCCCATTCTTGGTACCTTGCTTTGTTCTTATTCTTTCTGTCCTATGAATAAAGTCGAGTAATTGTTGCCACCTAATGTGATAACATGTCATATTCCTTTCAATATTCGTGGAACACTCAAAGAGAATTACGCTTCTTTCCTTTTATTTTAGATAAGGACATTTTTCATGTTTTAAAAATTTTTCATTATGTTGCAGAGTGATATCTAACTTTGAAAAAGTCTTTTGTATTCAATTTCTACACAATTTTTTATGATGAGGGAAGATAACATTATTTAGTTTCAATGGTTTTAAATTCAATCAAGGAAAAAAACTTCTTAGTCTATTATTAAGCAATCTTTAGTATTGTGGAATATATACATTGCTATTGAGTCACTTAAAAATACGTATTAAAATAATTAATAGAAATTATTTTGAGAAATATTTAGTCAGGATATCCAAATCAGCTGTATAAGGTTGTGCTTTATTGGATATTTTTCTCAATATTTTAAAATAATATATTCTTTTAGGCTAAAAGGAGAAAGTAAGCAGGTGATGGAGTACAGACATCAGCTGGATGAGCTTATCTGTTGGTTAACGAAGGCTGAGCATGCTGTGAAAAAGAGATCGACCACGGAGTTGGGGGAAAACCTGCAAGAATTAAGAGTAAGTTGTTTATTTCTGTCTATATGCCTTTTGGTGCCTGAACGTTATACTTCAGAATAACATACTGCATGTCTGAAGAAGAAAAGGAAAAAGAAACTTTGTACTTTTTGGTAAATGTGGTGAACTTGAAAGAGGAATATCTTTTATTTTTTAAAGCACAGTTATAATTTTGGTCTTGCAGAGGTTAAACTTCACTGATGTAAAAAGAACAAACTATTTTGGTTTCAGTGTTAGACCAAAGGTTTTTAGGATATTGTAAACTGACCTTATTAAAAATATAATAAGGCTATGAAACACAGTTTTTTGCTTTTAGATTTGGAAGACAATTACTGATTATTTCTAGAAAGTTGAGTTTTGCAACTTTCTAGATAATAATCAGTAATTATCTGAGTGACTTGGTGAGTAACAAAATGCAGCTTGCAAAAGGCTAGTGTCATGCTTGTATTAATTGGATTTTCTTTGTTGGTTTGCAACTAACAAGTATTGTTGATAGTTGTATATAATCTATAAACATTTATACATATATGTTGATGTATAAATATATCCAAATATCCATAAATTTTGTATTCATATTTATTTTTTGTGTTAACAATTAAAATACTTGTTGCAGAACAATCAGCATAATATGCTCACATTTTTATTTAAAAAAAGAAATTGTGAGTGTGTATTCATACATGTACAAGCAGAAAAGTGTGAAAGGTTACTTACTAATTCAATCAGAGATTTTGTTTATAAAGGAGTGTGATTGAAGCATTTTGGGAAAGAAACATTGAATAATGATGAAAAATATTTTGTGAAACATTTATTAAGTTTTCTTTTTAAAATGTGACAGTATCCAACAAGCTTATTTCTGTTTTATCTAAAAATTTCAATAGCTTTTTTTGGGAATGTCTCTTTTGTAAACAATTTGGGGACAGTTACAAGTGGTGGGACAGTATATCAGGATGGAGTAGCAAGGAGGAAAGAACAGAATGTTAAAATTAATGATGTAAAAGTAATATATGACCCGGTTAAGAGGCAGTGAGTACCAGAGAGTGAGTTTGTGCACAGGGGTGCAGAAATGCACACAGCAGATAGGTGCTCATTCTCCTGTTAGTTATAATTTGTTAGGATGGTCTTAAGCTTCTTACAAGTTTATTTTTCACTTAATAAATTAGAAATCTACATTTATAGTAATACTTGCCAAAAAGCTTTCTAATACAGTTCTTGAACTTTCCCTTATCTGACTGCCTGCTAACCACACCTGTCTTTTAACTTCTTCAGGACTTAACTCAAGAAATGGAAATGCAAGCTGAAAAACTCAAATGGCTTAATAGAACTGAATTAGAGATGCTTTCAGATAAAAGTCTGAGTTTACCTGAAAGAGATAAAATTTCAGAAAGCTTAAGGACTGTAAATATGACATGGAATAAGGTGTGTATAAAGTTACTATCACACGTTTCTCATATTGATTGATTTTGGTGTCAGAGATGTGGCATCATCTAACTGTTTTACTTTCAAGTATATCCAAATGTGGGTGAATTTTACTAATGCTTACTAATGTTTATACTTTTTATCTGTCATAGACACAGGCATATATTCTGGAAGAATAGTTTTTATTTTATATGAAACGCTTTGGCTTAGGGGATTTATACATTATATACTACATTAGATAGTGAACATATGTTGGAATTAGGTAATAAAATTCCAGTGATTGTATTCTGAAAATGAAGACCTTAAAATAGCATTCTGAGCTGGGTGCATTGGATCACACCTGGAATCCCAGCACTTTGGGAGGCTGAGATGGGGGAATCACATGTGTCCAGGAATTTGGGACTAGCCTGGTCAACACAGTGAAACACCATCTCTACTAAAAATACAAAAATTTGCCAGGCATGGTGGCACAGCCCTGTAATCGCAGCTACTTGGGAGGCTGAGGCACGAGAATTGCCTAAACCTGGGAGGTAAAGGTTGCACTGAGCTGTAATCATGCTACTGCACTCTAGCCTAGGTGAGACAGGGAGATTCTGTCTCAAAAAAAAAAAAAAAAAAAAAAAAAAAATATCATGCAGATGACTTTTCACACGTGTGTTTATTTTCAAGGATTTTATTCATTAAGTATATATTTACTAGGTTCCAGTAAAATGTAACGGCATGTGACTACAAATAAAACTAAGCTATCTTTTCCTCATACCATTACTTTTTTTGCCATTGAAACAGATAAAAGTAGATAAAGTCATCTTTTTGTTTGACCTGGTACATACATTGAGTGGATATGTCTCTGCCCTTGGTTTGGAGGGGCTCCGTATCAGTCATTTTCTCTCTCATCCTCTTTAAATGGTAGCCATTTTCCTCTAGCTGATAATGCAGGTGCTTTATTGATCTGGCCTTTCTGAGTGGGAATCACTGCCTGTTGTGTCACAGTGATTCACACGTGTGTATCTCCGGTCTGGACGTTTCTCCATACCCTAGACTTGTACATGCAACTACCTGCTCAGCAGCTCTCCTTAGATGTCTAATAGGCACCTCAAACTAACATACACAGTCAATCTCTTGATATCCCTCTCTCCTCTGTGCCTTAATATACATCTCCCACCTTAGTCAATGGAAGTTTCATCCTTATTATTACTTACATCAGAAACATTGGAGTTAATCCTGTGGTATATGAATTCTATCACAAAAAGAAACAAACAAAACCCCCAAACCAAAACTATACCTCAGTCACCATTATTATATTTTCCTTCAAAATACGTATCTACTGGATGGATGGTTTATTGGATAGCCAGATGGCTACATATGATAAGGCAGATGTAGCAAAAGTATGACCGTTGTCGATGTGAGATGGTACATAGGTATTTTCTCTGCAATTCTTCCAACTCTTATTGGGTCAAAAAATATCATACATTTGACTGCTTCTCACGACCCCCGTTGCCACTAACTTGCTTCAAGCCTGCTGTCATCTCTTGTCTTGATGACGACAAAGGCTGCCCCACTGGTCTCCCCTGCTACTTCCTTTGCCCTTTGTTATTCTGTTCTAGACAAAGCAGCCAATATGGTTGGTTACAACATAATTCATATCCAGTGACTTCTCTGAGCAAAGTCTACCAATGGCTTTCTATCTTGCTCAGGGTCAAAGCCAAAATGATTTTAGGGCTTAAAAGGCTTCTCATGGCCTGGCATCCTATGATCCATCCTACAATGTCTGCTGCTCCATCTCCCCTACACTCCTTTACAGACATATTAGCCCCTGTGTCACTTGCTAGAAATGTCCATATTCAGTCAGAGCACACATATTTATTTAACACAAAGTGTATCAGCGGGAATTCTGCAGAAAAGGGCACAGTGGTTAATTTGGGTGCACTACATCAGACAAAGCTAAAGCTTCTGTTATTGCAGGATTTCATGTAGATTTTAATATAATTCACTTTGGTGAGTTATGAATGTCTAAGACAAACTCTCATTGTGTAGAAAATCTCAACAATCCTTTAGGAAACTCTAACGTGGTATTTCATCCATTCGTCCATCCATTCATTCATTTAATAGGTTTTTATTGGATTCTCACCTTCTGCCAGGTATCATTTTAAGAGATAGGAATGCACTAAAAAGTGTGGCACTTCTTCTAACTCAAAGAGCTTATCATGGATGGGTCCAGTGGACATGCAGTTATAACATCCAGTTAGTCGTGGGCACATAAATGTGGAACCCCTGCCTGGCTTTGAGGGATAACTGTGGAAAGTTTTGTTGAGAAGATCACATCTCAGTTAATTTGTGAAGGATGAATAAGTATTAGTTAGGTGAAGAATGAGGGAAAGGGCAGTGTAGAGAGAAGTGGTAAATGAAAGTGTGTAGAAGAGACAGAGAGTGAGCACAGTGTATATAGGTCCAGGAAGTAGCTCAATATAGAATGTAAGGCCGAGGGGTGTTCTCAAGGATGAGATCCTGGAGGACTCACTGTGCATCACAAGGAATTTGAGCTTCATTTTGCAAGCAATCTACCACTTTGAAGGTAGTGAGAAGCTATTGTTGGATTTTAAGCAGAGGAAAGTTATATTTTTGAAATACTGCTATAGCCTTTCTACAGAGATGGATGGAGTGATCCTAAGAATTGATCTAGAAAGATTAGTTAGAATCTTTAAAAGAGTTTATGAAATGGGTGTCAGGGAAGACAGGGGTAAGGAGTTTAGATTTGGGCTTGTCTAAATATCTAGTTCCCAGAGAAGGCTGGACTGAAGATATGTTTTGGGGAGTCTTTAGCCCCTCAAAACTCCATTTGATTCCTGAAACCATTGCAAAGCAGGACTCAGGGAGGGAGCTAAAGAAGGGTAAGACGACCAACACATCTACCCTGTAGATACTGGTATTTTATTGATGGACAGCGGAAAAAAGAGCTGGTGAAGGAAACTCAGAGGAGCCAGAGAGGCAGGAGGAAAGCCAGAATTGCAGGGTAGTAACAGGCTTCAAGGGAGGGGGAGTGAACAACATTAACTGGTACACAGGGGTCAGGACAGCTAAGGACTGATTGGTGTTCTTGATGGCAATGTCAGTGGAGTTAGGGGCTTAAACAAGATTGCAGTGGAAAGTGAAGGTGGAGGCAGAAGTTTAGGTGGCTAGGGGAAGAGAAGTGGCAGAGCTGCCATTCAGAATAACATCTCCTGTTTTGAACTGTAGTCATCTTTATTTATATAGTATTCTTCTCTTTCTGTTTGTCTTGATGCGGTAGATTTGCAGAGAAGTGCCTACCACTCTGAAGGAACACATCCAGGAGCCCAGTTCTGTTTCACAGACAAGGATTGCTGGTAAGATACAGTTTGTCTTTAACAAAGTTTTTAAACAATCAGTAAAGTAAAATTTTGTGATGTGAGCATCATCTATGAATTAGAAAGACTTATTTAGAAACATTGTGCCATTTTCTTTATTTAATCTACTTTCAATTATTTGAAAAGAGGATCTTCTTTAAACCCAAGACATATTTGCCTGCCCAGTGTGGGCAAGGCATTTGTTCCCACGGTAGATAAGGCTGGCCTTTTCTGGACTCCACTGGCGCCTGGGCATCCACAGGTCCTGCTGAAGGGAAGATGAGAGGCTAGGTGCAGAAACTGGGGACTAGTTTTCTGGGTCCATGCAGCTTTTCAGGAAATCAGCTATAACTGCCTGTGTTGACATGAGCTGGATTAGCATACGTAATTTAGACCCTGATTGTAACTGAGAGCAAAAGGCTTAGATGTCCTTGGAACCAGGTGGGAGATGAGGATTTAAAAGCATTCTCCATCCTAGGAGACAAATCCTGCTCACTTGGATGTGGAGAAAGAAGAATGTTTTCTCACCATGTATTTCCTTCTCTCTTTATCCAGATTAGATCACAGACTACTGCCCCATGGCCACTGTCCCCACTGCCTTGCAGGTTTTCTGAACCATCATGCCCTGCTCTTCTTCTGTTGAGTCACCTGCAAAACCCCAAATGTGACTAACTCTAACTGTCCACTCACTCCCTGCCAGCTGCTTCTGCTGATTCTTTTGATTGCTCCTCCCTATTTTTTTCTTCTCGCTCCTCCCCCTCCTCCTCCTTGACTTCCATGTCCACCTTCCACTTTCTACCTCTTCCCCTCCTCCTCCACCTCTGCCTCTTCCACTTCTCCTATTTTGGGGGCGGTGGAGGGGCCCTTTTATTTCTCTTCTTCCTCTTCTTTTTCTTTGCCTTCTCCTCCTCCTTCCCCTCAAGTTTTGGAGAAAGTGATGAGAGACAAGATTTTTTTTTCTTAGATTTTTTGAGATTGCAAGCTTATTGAGGACCAAGTTTGTGCTCTTTATTACTTGTATTTCTGGAATTTTGCACCAAAAAAATCCTGGGGCCTGATCAGGTTTCTTGATTAACATGCAGAACACTTGAATTGACATTTGGGTACCACTGCTTTGCAAATACATGCTCAACTCTGTAATTATAGGGAAAGGATTTGATGCATTTTATGAAATTGTCATGGGTTATCTTACTTTTTAGAACCTCATTATCATAAAGGAGCAGGGAAAATTTAAATACATATTTAGAAGTGTAAAAAGCTACCAGCAAAACTATACCTTCCATTAGGTGGATGGCTCATTTTTAACAAGATACTCGTCCTTGGGACAGACCTGAGACCTGAAGCTAATCTTAGTATGTCTCTCTCCTCCTACGCAATGTTTTAATTCAGTTACTTCTTTTTAACATTATATTTAGAAAATAAAATTAACCATTTTAAAGTGAACAATTTAGTGACATTTAATGCATTCACAATGTTGTACAACCACTATTTCTATCGAGTTCCAAAATATTTCTATCACTCCAAAGTAAAACCTCTTACTCATTAAGCAGTTTTTTCCCATTGCCTCCTACGTCCAGCCCCTGGCAACCACCAATCTGCATTCTGTCTCCAAGGATTTATCTATTCTGGATATTTCATAAAAATGGAATCATACAATGCTTCTTTCACTTAGCATAATGTTTTTGAGGTTCTTCCTTGCCAACATCTTGCTGACTGTACTGATTTCAGAGCTATGACTAGCCATCTCAAATAAGCATTCAGCACTAAGAGACAGTCCAGCACTAAGAGAGTGCTTTCTTCTGAGTACTGCTTGGCACTCATCTCTCAACTAATGACCTCATCTCATTTTTAAAAGAAAATAATTTTTAATTCCCTAGACAAAATCTTTTTGGTTTTCCCACTAGAGAATCCATCAAGCTACCTGCAGCTGTACCCATATACTCTATATACTTCCTTCCTGTCCAGAGAAAGGGTTATCTCTTTTTCTAAGACCAGTTCCTCCCCTTATGCATAGGTTCCTATCTTCTCTGGACTGCTTATGTATCCTCTTTCTCTAATACTATACTGGATCATCCTTATTGCCATACCTTTTGATGCAAGTAACTCTATTTAAACTGATGTATCAGTTTAAATATAATATTTAAACTGATGTATAATATTACATTATATTGGATATACTACAGTCCTCTGAATTCTCTCCTCTGTGTATGCTTACCAGTCCCATAACTGTACACATTTTTTTTTAACTGTAGATGATTCACCCACTCCGTAGGCCCATAAACTTGGAGTCAACCTCAGCTCTTCTCTGGAATTAATATTCAATCCTTCAGCAAGTAGTGTTGTTTCCATGCTCCATTCCACCTACTTTCCTGGTCTTGAACACCCTCATCTTTCTATCTAGATTATTGGAATGTACTCCTAAATCATAATCCTGATTCTATTCTCACCTCACTGTTTCTCCATGACCTATTCCTCTGATAGCAGATAGAGTAATGCTTTCTAAATGTAATTTTGATTGTGTTGCTTCTGTGATCACAATCTTTTAATCACTTCCAGCCACGTAAATGAGTTCCAAAGTCTGGCCTTGGTCCAGAACACCATGCATATCTGCCTATCTCTCTAATCACATTTCTACTACTTTTCCCTTTGTTCCTTCTGTTTCAAATATACTGGTCTTCTTGCTGTTTCAAACATGCCGAGAACATATTCATTTCTGGTCTTTGTGCTTGATGTTCTTTCTTCTTGTCTTCCCCAAATATTCTTCTCTTGGATATTTACATGTTTTTTCAAATATCCCCTTCTTGGCAAGCCCTTTCTTGCCCACAATATCTCAGATACATCCTGTCTCTTTGTCTTCTTGCATTGATATTACTTGGTAATATATATCCATTTTCCCTATGGAATGCAAGCTCCTGCCAGGCACAGTGACTCATGCTTGTAATCCCAGCACTTTGGGAGACTGAGGCGGGTGAATCACCTGAGGTCAGGAGTTCAAGGCCAGCCTGGCAATGATGAAACTGTTTCTATTAAAAATACAAAAATTAGCCAGGGGTGGTGGCAGGTGCCTATAATCCCACCTACTGGGAGACTGAGTCAGGAGAATTGCATGAACCCGGGAGGCAGAGGTTGCAGTGAGCCGAGATCATGCCATTGCAGTCCAGCCTGAACTTTATCTTGTACACTCCCATGCCTGCAGTGTCTAGAATAGTACCTTACGCATAATAGGTTCTTAGTAGATATTTCATGAATTCAAACAATGAATTTTTTTTTTAAAACTATGAAAGAAGTGGAGATTGGGCAGAAGGATGTGTGAGGTATTCTGCAGGGTGTGTAGTGAGGAAATCACTGGGTTATAGCATATGGGTGCCTTCTATTTCATTAGCTGCCGCGAGGGTGCTGTCTAGATTACTTGGCCCAGTTTACACTGACACTGGCTGTGTGTGGTGGGTTCTCATTGTTCTACAGCATTACCAGCACCTCAACATTTTGTTCTCAGGACCCCTTTACACTTGTAAAAATTATTGAGGACCCTCCAGGAGTTTTCGTTTTTATGAGTGATATCTATCAATATTTACCTCACTAGAAAAACATTTCCATTAATTCATTTATTAAGTTGTTTAAAAATAACAATAAGGCCATTATATGTTAACAAAAATAGCATATTTTTGTAACATATTAGCATAAGCTGCTGGGAACAGTAGATCATGTCTATAATCCTAGCAGTTTGGGAGGCTGAGGCAGGAGGATCAGTTGAGCCCGGGAGTTTGAGACCAGCCTGGGTAACATAGAGAGTCCCCATACCTAAAAAAATAAAAAAAATAAAAAGCCATTCTTGGTGATGCAGTCCTATAGTTCCAACTTCTCAAGAGGCAGGGGTGGGAGAGTCACTTGAACCCAGGAGGTTGAGACTGCAGTAAGCTGTGTTTGTGCCTCTGTATCCCAGTCTGGGCGACAGAGTGAGCCCGTCTCAAAGAAAAAAATCCAAACAAACAAAAAACCAACTCTGTTTTCTAAAACAAACAAAAACTTGGTAACGTTGCTGTTATATATTTTTTGAACCCATCTGTATTCTTATATCTGTGTCTGCATTTGATCTTTTGTGATATCACATGTTATGTAGCCTTAGATAAAAATCCCTGTACACTTGGGAGAGAATGAGCCTAAAAAGGCAAATAATATGGTGATGATAATAATGTAGTCATCTCGACCTTTGTAAAGGTCTCTAGGAACCTAGAGCTTCTCAGATGTCACTTTGCTGATGGTGGTCCTGTGGATATTGGGTGTGTCATTTTAATTTGTATTACCCCAGTAATTGAGGAGGTCAGACATTTATTTCACGTTTTTATGTTTATTGCCTTTCTTATTTCCTCTTTTGTCGATTGTTTTTAGATGATTTTTTAAGTTTCAGGAAAAAGTATTTTGGCTATCAGTTCTTTGTCTGGAATGTGGATTGCAAATGCTATCCCCTTTAATGTTTCAAAGGCTTTGAAAATCTTGACTTATGGTGCTCCCTTTGGAATTCTTAACCATTAATGGTTTATTAATAGCTTCCTTATTTTGTGTTTTCTGTTAGAGCTACTTCAGTCCTCTGAAGTCATACAAATATTCCATATTTTTAACTGACAATTTTGGTTTTCATATTTAGGTCCTTAATCCACCAAGAATTAATTTTCCTATGGTACATGTGAGGTTAAAATCAGTCCCATCATTTCTTTGCCGCAGTCATGGGTCAACACTTTATTGAACAGTAAATTCTTCCTCATTGATCTGTAATTCAGTCTCTGCCAAGGTCAGATTTCTCTGCCACTTACACACTGTGACTCTTCTCTTCCGTTGGTCCGTTTAAATGTTTCAGTCCATAATATACTCAGTTCATTACTATTAGCTAGATAATATAATGTAACATTTGGGAGGGCATATTTCTCTACCAAAAATAAAAATTTGACTGTTTTTTGTCCTTTTCTACATTAATTTTGTAACCAGAAATTTGAATCAATGATTTTTGTTTAGTTACACTCAAACCTGTTGGGATTTTTATTAGGATTGTGCTGAACTTACAGATTGGCTATATGTTTTAGTAAATTATTTAGGCCTTATCTAATATGTCATATCTAAAGTAAGTTTCAGATGGCTTTAATTACTAATTCAACTACTTTTGTATCAAAACCAATCAGTTTGGCAATGAATATTAAATACATACTTTTTTGTATTTTCTGACTCAGTAATTCTACTTGGGAAATCTATGCTAAGATAGTGATCATAGGCCAGGTGCGGTGGCTCAAGCCTGTAATCCCAGCACTTTGGGAGGCTGAGGCGAGCGGATCACAAGGTCAAGAAATCGAGACCACCCTGGCCAACATGGTGAAACCCCGTCTCTACTAAAAATACAAAAAATTAGCTGGGTGTGGTGGCGTGCACCTGTAGTCCCAGCTATTCGGGAGGCTGAGGCAGGAGAATTGCTTGAACCCAGGAGGCGGAGGTTGCAGTGAGCCGAGATCGCACCACTGACTCCAGCAAGGGTAACAAGAGCGAAACTCCGTCTCAAAAAAAAAAAAAAAAAAAAAAAAAAAAAAAAAATAGTAAAAAAAAAAAAAAAAAAAAAAAAAAAGATAGTGATCATAAATATGCGAAATACTCTACTCTAAAAGATATTCCTTGCAAGTTTTTTAAAATTAAAATAAAATTTTAGCCGCAATCTAAGTATCGAAGGGTTAAATGAAAGTTAGTGGATATAGGGATAGGTTATTACATAGGTATTCACAATGTGTTTATTAAGAATAAAATATGCTGACATTATAAAGTTAAATGAAAAATGAATAAAAAATTAGGAATAAGTTAGCTTTATAATTAAAATCATCTTGCCAAAATGAAATAATACTTCTAATTCTCCCATGTTTGTACTTTTAGTTTTTCTCAGTATCAGTGTTGATTATGTTCTAGAATGTGGTGAAACTGTTCTGTTGGCTTGATAGCTACCAACCACATATGGATATCACAGGTAATATCATAGCCATTTCAGTGTGCAAAAATAACCTCTCAGATTTTTTTTACTTCAACTAAATTTTATTTAACTACATATATGTCTTTCACCATGACACCATCATAATCAAAATATCCTATTGATTGATTTCTCTTTTGCTGCGTTTTTTATTTCAGCTCATCCTAGTGTCCAAAAGGTGGTGCTAGTATCATCTACATCAGATACTCCTGTTCAGTCTCCTCGTACTTCGGAAATTTCACTTCCTGCTGATCTTGATAAAACTATAACAGAACTAGCCGACTGGCTGGTATTAATCGACCAGATGCTGAAGTCCAACATTGTCACTGTCGGGGATGTAGAAGAGATCAATAAGACCGTTTCCCGAATGAAAGTAGGTGAATAGTGTAAAGGCTTGTCATGGAAATGCCACAACCCAGAGACAAACCAGATCTGTTTGAATCCCTTTTGTTTATCCTAAAACTACGAGAGAATGAGGTTTAAGAAATTCTGTATTTGTCAAACAGCCATCTAGGGCTAACTACAAAGCATAGAGCTTTTCTGGCATTTATACTGCAGTGATATGATCAGGTTTTCTGACTTGAACTAAAGGACCCACTGCATTTAAAAAATCTAAAACCGATACCATAAAGCTAGGCACATTAGTATAAATATAAGCTGGTGTTAACATTTCATGCCTGTTATATGATGTGGGATAGTTTCCTAAAGTGCCTTTGCAACTTCTATTACATAATGAGATGAATTTCTGACTTTAGAAGTATCTCCTATAGTTTTATTATTATACTTATATCATCTAATATTAATTTGTAAAATTCTTTCTCCATATTTAATGTGTGCTAAGTTCTGGACTGTGAGTTATACAGGGATACTGACAAGAATATACTAATAGAAATTGGGCATCTACAATAAAATAATAATAACAGCTATCGCTAGCTTTTACTAAGTGCGTCATATGTACTGGGCATTTTTCTAAGTATTTGACACGTTACCTCATTCAGTTATTTAATAATCTTGTGAGGTAGGTATGGTTTTTATTCCCACATGACAAATAAGCCCAAACTGAGGCAGAGGCACTGAGTGCATGTGAGTAGAGAAATTACCGTGGCAAGGCCAGAGTCTCATGAAAGCCTCAGGACAGGCACAAGCCACCTGTTGGGGGAGCCAGGATGAGGAAGGGGATCACTTCTCCTGTGGTAGAAAGCAAACTGTGTGGGTTTTGGCATCTGAGATAAAGCGATGGCATGCCTGGCATAGGGAACAGAGTGAATAAAGATGTGGTACAGGAGGCACGAAGGACTTTAGGGTCAACATTTGTGCAATTAAGAAATACTTCACAGCCTGAAGTAAGGCAGGAAAGGCAGCTAAAGTTCCCTTTGTGAAGGAGCCTGCAGGCTGTGCAAACCTCTGAATATTTAGTCTGTACGCAGTTGGTAAGCCTCTTTCTTCCCATTTCTTTTTCTTTTTTAAATTGTGGCTAGGAACTCGTGATAACAATGCTCCACTTTAGTAGGAGACTAGGATGGATTGGAGGCAAGAAATGCTTAAATCAAGGCAAAGAGCCCTTTCTGAAGTGACTAAGAGGATGCTATTGCAATTAGCGGAAATAAGGAATAGAAGAAATGGAGTGTGAATGAGGGTTTCAGTGATTTAGTTTCAGACGTGTTGTGGTAAGGAGTCTTTATGCCATTTAGAAGGAATTGATCAGCATTCATTACTATGTGCCATGGGACTTAGGATTGAAAGTGGTGGGCAATCCATTTAGTGGTAATATTTGACACCAGAGGAGTAGCTGAAATCTACAAAATTAGTGAATTTGTAAAGAGGAAGGACTGGGAAAGAATCATTTGCCACTATCTGTATTTTTTGTAAATTGTGTTTTCTAGTCTCTGACTGTCATTAGTTCTGTACTGAAAACACATGATTTTCCTGATGTTGTTACCATTTCTCCCATATTTATCAGCACTGAGAGACACAAACCATCTACAGCAGGAATTTTTCATGTCTAAGAGGATTTAATTTATAGTTATTCCTCTTAGCACATTTCTATGTCACCCCCAACCCTGTGACATTAGTTTCATATCTGACACAGAACAGATATGCCACGCGTCAGTGGCAGCAATAACTGCTAATGTTTTCAGGGCATTTGTTTTAGCTTTTGAAGGGATTTTCTTTATTTAATGTCCTCAGACTGGATGTAACTGAGCTGGCAGTATTATTTATTTTTTGTGAAAACAAAAACACAGAGAGGTAAAGCCCCTTGCCTGGTGACTCAGGTGCTAAATGGAAGAACTGAGATTTGAACCCAGAATCTTTAACTTTAAATCAGGTACTCATTTTCTGCCACGTTGCTGATGCCTCAGTATGCCATAGAAGAGGAAAACAACTTCGATGTCAACACATCTGTTTTGCTTAGTATTCTTCTCATATGGCTTATTAACTTATCATAATAATCATTTCTACTTAACAGATTACAAAGGCTGACTTAGAACAGCGCCATCCTCAGCTCGATTGTGTTTTTACATTGGCACAGAATTTGAAAAATAAAGCTTCCAGTTCAGATGTGAGAACAGCAATCACAGAAAAATGTAAGTTTTTTTAAAATTATGTATCATCACCCACTTTCCCTTCAAATGGACGGACACACACACACTCAACACACACACACCCAGTAATAGTGTTTAATATTAGTTTCTCTTTATTTATACAGAAACGTAGCTTTCCCTTGTTTTTATAAATCTTTTGTGAACATTGTTACGATGACCTTATGAATTCATTAATTTTAACATCACAACTCTTAAGTAATTACTTACACATTGGGTTTTCTTCTCTTAACTTAGGTCTTTTTTTAGAAGAATAAAAAAGAGAGAAACTCACAAGAATGCAAATCCATTCTCTCATTATATTTTGTTCTCTAAAATCAGGTCTTACTATGTCTTTTAACTCACCTCAAAATTCAGTCCATAAATATTTATCGAGCAACTACTATGTACTTATGTGACTGACGTTAATTTGGGGATGCTTTAGTTAAAAAGGAGAGAAAACAAAAACATAAACATACAAAACAATAGGAAACAAAGATCCTTGCATGGGGTTTGCATTCTAGCTCAGAAACATCTGTTAAATCTGTATGACGTACACATTCCCACTGTGTACGTTTCTGCATCTAAAATACGTAGAAAAATAGCTCCGTTTCTGTGTAAATAAAGAGTAACATTGCCACTGTGTATGTCACACAGATTTAACAACTGCTTCTGAGCTAGAAGCATCTAGCTTCTACGAACCCTTCTCAATGGGAACGTACTACCGATAGCAAACGAAGTCTAATTTCTCAAGAATGGCATCTAGGGATTGTCACAATCTGCTGCCACTATCCCGTCTCTCACTTCAGCCCTCAGCCCGGTCTGTCATTATTCTGTGCTATATGTATTCCTTAAAGCGTCCTGACAGTTCCTAGTCATCTTACCTTTATTCGCGTTATTTCTCTCTTGGCCTTTTCTCCCCAGATGAAATTCTACGAAGCAGCCAAAATGTCACCCCCTTTGTGACGTCTTTCCTTCCTCTTCTATTTCCTGGTGAATGTTAATTTCTATTTTTTTAGTTCCTTCTATGGCCTTTTCCCCCCATAGCTTTATTATAGATCTCACGACTACTTTAATTCTGTCTTCCTTCCATAGATTGTGCATATCTATCTTTCTGCCCTTGGGCCTTTCACAGTGCCCAATACAAATTAACTACCTGATAAATACTTGTGGCAAAATAGAAACTGGAAGGATAAAGCCTAATCTTTCTCAAGGGAAGAAAGTCAACTACTCTCCCTGTAAAAAGTATGTTTTGATTTCAAAATAATCATGGGAGCAACAAGGTTGTTATAGGACATACAATAGAAAAGAACTTTTAATGTCTGACAGTGTTGGCTAATTTTTACTAAATACACCATTTTCCTTCCTTTCTCTCTCTCTTGATGAATAGATGGATTGTGTTTGTTACGGAACTTTGGAGTGAGTCAGTTTCCCCTCACATCACAGGGGCGCTCCTCTGCTCTAGTGTCCAAACTATCGACAAAGCCATTTCCAGTTTGCTTTTTCTATTTGATGTTTATTTTTATTTTTTCCATCACCTCTCTTTTTGTCCAAAACTTTTTTCAAGGTTTTTTGATTTGCAAGACTTTCCTTCTCCTAAATATCTTTCCTTTCCCATTTAATGTACACACTCTGTTTTCTCTTTATATGTTAACATTTTTGTGCGTGTAGAGGTTTGATAGTCTTCATCACTCCTCATTATATGAAAAACCTTTCTCAGGGGTAGTGTGCTGCGACCAATAGTAACCTGTTTTTAGGATTTAACTCACAATGAATAGGATACTTTGCTTATTTTTTATGATAAACCTGTGATATTTACTCTCGCTTGATATCTTTGGTTTCATTTGTTTATTGTTTTTTTTTT